GATAGCAAAACAAACCTGTGTGTGTGTGTGTGTGTGTGTGTGTGTGTATGTGTATATGTATTCCTTTTCAGTTTAAGTGGACATAAAAACAAATTTATTTAGCCTTCTGCCATTTCTTTATATACTTCTGCATTCTCGCAAAACTTTCTTGTAATATTTTAAAGTTGATTTGCAAGATTCAAACATTTTAAAGTTGAACTGGGACAGTGCTTATGTTTACTACTTTCTTTAGCTTTTGACAAAACTGTAAAAACCAAATTAATAAATGGATTTTTGTAAAGCTTTATTGTTATATTGATGCATTAATCCTTTTGTCAATAAAATATGAACTCAATGAATAAAGCATTTTCGCATAAAACATATTAGCATAAACTTTTTTTAATTGATCTTTGTTACCCAGGGCGTTTAGTTGCCAATGATAAAAGCAATTGGAGAGGCATAGATGTGTTTTTCCTCCAGTAAGATAATTTCAAAACACGTTCTAGGTAAACACCTGAAATCTAGTATATGACTAGTGAATCATTTCAGATGTCCAAGGTTGGTTCTTTTTGGGGTTTCCCCCATTCTTTATGTTCATATTGTTTATCTGCTGTACATTTTTGTTTTAGGATTTACTCTTCTATCTTCCACATTTGTGGAAGCTTTCTTCATTTTTTTCAGGAACGCATTCCAAAAATATCTCAAGCTTTCATTCAGTAGCTCTTTAGATGTTACTTTGGTGGTGCAAAAAACAATGATTTTACACAACTGTGTTATCTGAGGCATTTTTTCTTTTGGCAACTAAAGAAAATTACAAAAACAAAAGTTCTGCACAAGACTTGCTATTTTTAAAGTTCCCAATTATCCTCTATATTTAGATGGAATATAATCTATAAGATTTGAATGAATGCATGAATTGATTAAACTTTTTTTGAAGACCTTCAGAAAGTCTGGAGAACTGTTGATTGAAACCTTTTCAAAAAAGGACTATCGGTAAACTGTCAATGTCCTTGGAAGCAAAATCTTATGAGAAGGGGCTCAAGACCAAGTCATTGCCAGTTTTTAACTAAGCTCATTTCCATTCAGAAAACTAACTCCAGATAAAGCAAACAAGATGTGCAATTCAATGGACCCAACTACAGAGTATGCATACTGTGGCCAAATACATTTTCTACTAATCAGTCTCTAGATTTCACTTGTCTTCACTAGATTTGGCTAGTGTTTACCACTAATATCAGTCGCAAGTTATTAAGTCTATATAACCTTTAACCTTCTTATTTTTTGTCCCATGCCACATAACATATTTGGGAATTGTAAATAACCTCCATCTGTCTCGTTAACTGGATTACTTGGAATTATAAGCAGCATGCCGAATTCCTTTTGGTGTGCGGCTGCATCTTAGCATACAAAAGGTTGCATCAAAAATTGGGTTGCCAAGTCAAAATCCAAGATGGCCACCACAATATATATGTAAACCAGTCACCCCAATCCTCTTGAGGAAACCATGCTTCCTATTTTTTATATTGCTAAAAAATATAATTTCCTTAAATGGTTAGTGTGTCCATAGATTAATCTATGGCAGCCAAGACCACCATTGGCCACCCCCTGGCTCCGCCATTGCATCTGGTGGTGGATAAAACTGCTCCCTTCTTTTGCCAGGATCTTTCAACTTGGGCTGCTTCGGACAAGAAAACAAAAACAATCTCTCTCCTCCACAGTGTAACTCCTACCCTCTAGAATATCTTGCACCAAAAACACTAAGGTTTACTTGCATTCCCTGTTCGATTCCATCCAGAAAAACATTAATCTCAAAATTAAAACATTCAACTATTCAAATCCCTCCTCTGCTTGTGTGTAATTAGTTTTACTCTGTAGAAATTTGATTCTATTTTGACAACGAGTTTTTATTTGTTGGAAAGACCAGTTTATATTGACCATGATCAATTTATGACAGCAATAAAAGCATAAAACATACAAAGTGATTACTTTTCATAGACACTGTACATCTATGCATCCATCCACACATACATGTATTATCACTTCACCGTATGTGCTGGAAAGACGCAGCACTCCTTGCCATCCTTGTCGGATAACAGCTTTATATGGGGCCGAGATGGTGTAGAGGCAGGGCAGCCGGCTTGGGACCCGAGAGTCCCAGGTTCGATCCCCAGTCACTGCACATCACGTGGCGTCTCTGGGCAGCACGTCTAATTCCCAAAATGTCCCCCGGGCGCTTTCAATAGCTGCCCACTGCACCACCTGGTGGTGGATGGGTTAAATGCAGAGACTAATTTCGCCATTGTATGGAAACATACAGTGCTGACATTGTGATGACATTATTATTATTATTATTATTATTATTATCAAGAATCTCAGGATTCTTTCTCCTCCTGCTCCTGAGACCCAGTCGTGAGGACAGCAGAGAGACGCTGTTAGAATCTCTGTATGTTGAAAACATGTGTACCCTGCATGTACAGTCCCTGTTGCCCCTTTTAAAGCAATAACTTAAATGTTATTATTAGTCCATTATAATACATCAACTTCAGATGATGAAACTGACGAAAATGAGGTGAGAAGTTAAGTAGAACTGTCAGGAGGGGGAAACTGATCAAACTTGTCTTACAGTCTGCAAACAAGATGTCTGATATAACAATAAAAAACTACAAATCCACTCATCCTCGTTTTGCCATTCAACAAAAAAATAAGCTTGCATCATCCTTCCGAGGTTTCACCAATCTTCTTTGATTGCTCTGTTTGACAGAATAAAAGATTTGTTTTTGTAACACAAAAACAGACGTGACGGCTCATTCTGCAGTCAGGATGGATGTCAGCTCAAAAAGAGCATGAAGAATCAGGGCAGGTCCCTGTTAGACTGAGTTAAAGGCCCCTGTGCCTGCAGTGAAGAGGGATAGCCGAGTTACTTTAAAATCCTAGATTGCATCTAAGATGCTGGTGAGCACAGCTAACATGGTTGTTTTTAATTTTATTGAAAGCAGGCCCATGGCATGACACTTTGTCTCTGGTTCCAGTCCGATAAAACAAAGTAACTAATGCTACAGATTTGTGTCTCTATAAACTTTCGAGTGTTATGCCATAGTTTCTGAGCATGAATAAATCTCTCTCAATGTTTGTAACAACAGATTAGACTTTAATCTTTGTATTAGAGGAAAGAACTTGAGTGGCTGCGAGTCAGTTTAGAGGTAATTCTCAGACTTTAAGCATCTCTTAGCAACACTCTGACACAAACAAGTATTTTACTTCAGTGGCATTATGAGGACAAGTCACCACTTTACAATGCATCAGTTTTTAATGTTTAAATACTACCACATTGTCATGGAAACCCAGATATATGCTGCTTTGGGCAGATACAAACAGATATTCTTGGTATTTGACAAATGCACAGAGGGTCAAGAGAAAAGCCTCCCTCTTACTTTTCTCTGAACTCCTGGTAATCATTGCAGCTGGATTGTGCTTGTGTCCTTATAGAACTGTGCTGATGATGTTGGGCTCAGCCTAAGTTAGTGGGAGTAATTAAGATCCTGTTCATTATCATCAGTTACACTTCCACTGCATTCTGACAGCTGTGCTGCTCTGTGGAGCACCCACCCCCACCCCCGATTCATGTTTGAAAAATGAATTTATTTATTTTCAGTCCCAGCTCTGTTGACTATTCATGGTGCGGACACAAACCCTCCCCTGAGTGATATATTTGGACCTGAATCACATCCCTGAGGGCATATTGGATTCAGCCACATCCACTCCTCCACATACCCACCAGCCTGACACTAGTGTTTACATAGTCCCACTGTCTTACACAGTGGTGGGATGTAACTAAGTACAAGTACTTTGTTACTGTACTTAAGTACATTTTCATGTATCTGTACTTGACTTAAGTAGAGTTAAACGTGGGCACTTTCTACCTTTACTCCATTACATTGTACATTAAGTATGTGTACTTTCTACATGTTACATTCACATTGAGTTTTTTTTTATTTGTTTGTTAGTTTGAAAGTAAACAATGGCGAGACGGGAGTTGGTCCATTGAATCACTGCAAAGGGGGCAGGTAACGTTAGACCCACCTTCAAGAAGAGCTGAGCCAATGACGTATATTCTAGTATATACGTCATTCAGCTGGGCACACCACTAACACACCCAAAATGGATTCCTCTGCGGAGAGTCAGCCAGAAGATACACGCCACCCATGGCCTCATTGAAAGACTATTGAAAGATTATTGAAAGACTATTCAGTACAGCAGGTCAGATTCTCTTTCCATAAGAGCCAGACTGGACTCAAAAAACTTTGAAAACCAACTTCTTCCGAACTTGAGCAAGACATTTTTGCTACAATATTAAAATGTGTCAGTTCATGGGATGTTAGGAGACGAGATGTCTCCAAATTGCTCGACACTCTGGTCCAAGTTTTGAAAATGGAAAACATTAACAATTAAAAACATGCATTATCTGCAGCGTTGTTCATTAAAATGGCTCAACACTATTAATGTATTACAGAAAATATACATACGGTATGCACACTTAATGATATTGTAGACAATTGCATTAGGTAATACATTCAGCAAGTACTTTTACTTTTAATACTTTAAGTGTTTTTAAAAGCAATTACTTACTTACTTTTACTTAAGTAAAAATGTTAATGTAGTACTTTTACTTTTACTAGAGTACATTTTTGTTTGTTTATTTGTACTTTTACTTAAGTACAGTGTTTGAGTACTTTCTCCACCACTGGTCTTACACTTCTTGCTGTCGGCAGGTACCACTCGTCAGCCCAGAGAGGGGGAAGTTCCTGGAGTAGACTATAACTTCATCAGCGTGGAGGAGTTCCGCAAGCTGGAGGAAAGTGGGCTGCTGCTGGAGAGTGGCACCTATGAAGGTTTGTTTCTCAGTGCACACAGGATGTTCATAAAAGCAAAATAAACAAATAAAATTCAGCGTTAGACTCCATGTTGTGGGGCAGTTGGCAGCATGGTGTAAAGGAGAGGAGATGAAAGCCAGCTATTCTGTCTGAGGCAATGTTTTTCAACTGGACACAAGTGGAATGCTCCCTCCTGTTCAGAGTTGAATCTCTTACTCAAATGAATGAGTTCAAGTACCCAGAAGTCTTGTTCACGAGTTGTTGTTTTTCTTTTGGCTGCTCCCTGCTGCTGGAGTTGCCACAGTGAGCAATGTCACATGAAAGCTTTGGCAGTTGTTTTACTCTGAATGCCCTTCCTGATGGTACCTGGGTTCAAACCTGCAGCCTGAGGATTACAAGACCACGGCACCAACCACTGAGCTACTGGGTGTTCATGAGTAATGGCAGGATAGAGTGGGAGGTGGATTAATGTATGAGAGGCCTTATTCACAGCAATGAGTACATTGCTTGGTCTGTCACAGTGAAGGAAGAGTTGAATCAATAGGCAAAACTTGTTTACTGGTCTATCATCATTCCAACCATCACATGTGGTCATGACCAAAGGGACAAAGTCCCAGGTACAAGTAGCTGAAATGAGCTTTCTCTTGGTGGTTGGGCTCAGCCTTAGAGATAACATAAGGAGCACTGTCATTCAGGGGGAGCTCAAAGTAAAAACTGCTGCTCTGCACTGAAATAAACCAGCTGAGGTGGTTCAGGCTGATCTGGTTAGGATATCGTCTGGGCACCTCCCTCTGGAAATGTTTCAGGAACATCTTACTGGATAATGGTAAGATAGATAGTCTGCCCTGTGGTAATATACCACAGGGCAGACTCAGAATTTGCTAGAGGGATTATACAGGTATATCCTCTTTAATCTGGGAACATTTTGGAATCCTCCAGAAGGAGTTTGAGAATGGGATGTGTGGGTTTTCCTCCTGGACTTGTTTCTGCAACCCAACATGGGTAAGTGGCAGATAATTTGATGGATAGAAAACTCTTCAAATGTTCACACTGTATGTACCTAGAACAACTTTTTGGACTGTACATCCCACTATGAAGAGGTTAAAGATCTGTGTGTTTGCTTCTGCACTTCTTGGCAATGTTGCAGGCAGGCAGCCCATTCTAGGATTGTGCACCACTTGGCCGATGGTTCACAGCCACAGTAATTGTAGGCTGACATTCACTACCAACAAAAACAGAGGACTCCATAGTTGGAGTCGTGTATTTTGGGTCTTTCTTTTAATTTTAAAAGCAAAGTTTGAAACAGCCCTACAAACATTTAGAAGGACTTAAATGAGCCAACACTCATAGGATGATGGACATGCTCAAAGAGAATCATGTAATTGTGGGTGTCTGACTATGTTTTAAAATGTGGGAGGAACATCAGTAAAATACAAATAAAATCACCAGTTGTGACTTTTGCACATAGTCCTGTCATGTATTGGTGGTAATAATAAAACAGCTGTTTAGTTTTCTTATAGTAATATGTATGTAATAGCAGACAACAATGGCTGTTTTAGCAACAGAATGCAGTTATGATTATGTGGGTGCTAGAAGAGCATTCAACTATTTCAGCTAATCAAAGTCTGTTTATATATAGAGCAGTCACACACCCTTACATCCCCTTTGAGCTGAGAAGTTCTTACTCTGAAGCAGGAACCAGTAAAGACTGATCAAGTAGAATCATCAGGTCTATGAATGGCCTCGGTACGTAGACAAAAAAATGTGGGTGAATTTTCTTAAATGGTTTTAAGAACTGAATTGATCTTGTATGGTCTAAAAGCACCTAATATTACATCTAAAGCTGTCTCAGTGTTTATTATATTTTTTTACAGGTAATTAATAAATAATGACTTTAATAAAATTATAATACCTGTAGTGTTTATTCTTACTGTTATGGATTTCAACTCATTTTCCTGTAATTTATCTTTTATTTTTGCTGTTTTAGAGGCTGAAACCAGTCATTTGCCTCACTCAGTCTGACACAGTGTTTATACTGGTTTCTGACATGATTTATGGGTTCAGGGACTTGTTTCCAACCGATTAATGACTAAAGATAAGGATGTTTACTGAGATCCATTTAAGTTTTATAAATACTGAAGTACTGATGGAAATTTGAGTCCCTCAAAAAAAAAAAATGCTATTCATTGTTTGCTTTTTGTTAAATTTATTTTTATTTTTAACATGTCTGGAAAAAGACTCACATGTGAATGTGTTACTCTTAAAGAATGCTTAAAACTGTACAGTACACATTAATTGCTCATGCACTTCTTTTATGGATTACAGTTTAAACTGGTTTTCTGTTACAGTAGTCCCCCACCTATCGCGGGGGTTGTGGTCCAGACACCTCCGCGATAGGTGAAAATCCGCCTAGTAGGGACATTATATTTGTTTTAGAATTTATATAAAGGCTTTATAAACCTTTCCCACATTCTTACAATGTTCTAAACCCTAAACTCTCTAAAAGAGCACAGTGAAAGAGAGCAGACAGACTGATGTGATGGCTACTGAGCCAATCAGTGCCTGGGATGCAGAGCACAATGCTCTGATTGGTCGCCTTCCATCAATCAGCCAATCGTGTGTCGTGTACAATTTTACGTTGAAAACCCGCAAAACAGTGAGTCTGCGAAAGTCAAATGCAAATTAGCGAGGGACTACTGTACACTGGAAATGAATCACTTCTGAGTTCACGATTATAACCCATGTTTTCAAATTGGCTTTGTTTGGATCAGTTTACAGCCTTCTCTCTAGTTTAAATTACCCAAACTTTGAGTAGAAAGCTCAGCCCAACATTTGAAGGTGCAAAAATGAAGTATATAGACCAAGGCAAACACAGGAATGCTCCCCTGAGTAGCCAAATAATTACATTGTTGCCATAGTTCATTGTCCCAATCCACTCCAGGGAAATTGTTGGTTGTTAAATCTCCTGTAAACTTGCTGAGCTGTAACTTTGTCATTAAGCGAAATCAAGAAATTGCTCACATCATCAAACAGTAACTTGAAAGACACAGAGGTATTATACCCCTAGATGATTTATTTGTTGTAAAGGTTACACAACTTTGTTGAAACTTACTGGCAATGTAAAACTGCTGAAGTATTCCCTCATGTCCCACACTTGGCTCTGGAAGACTTGGCCTTTAACCTGGAGCCGAGTCATCAGAATGAATAATGGATCTGCTCTTTTTCCTGCATAATGTAACACATGCATATGTCTGCAGAGGGCCCAGAGCCACAATACATCAGAAAGTTAAATAATAACGCACAGATATATGACCATAGGGCCTCCCAGTACAAATCACTCAATATACTTTTCACAGATATTGTCTTGCAGACAGATTTACAGAGTTTACAGTATATTATATTCAAGTAGTGACGTATCGGACACCAGCTGCAGTAGAAACATTAAAGCATGTACTAATATGCATTTAACTTATCAGTGCAAGCATTTATACTACTGAGCTTTCAAACATATCTTTATTTACCACATTGTTTCATATTATATATTACTGACTGCAGATTTTTGCCACCAGGGTCTGTGTTTTCATGTTTGGTGTGTGTTTTATCATTTGTGTTATTTCTAACTTGTTATCTTGCTTCAAACTATTTTCTTCTAAACTGAATCAAACTCTGAGCGATTAAAGATCTTGGGGAAAAAAAGAAACAACCTATTTTCTCATTGCAGTCACTCATTTTCTGTGTCTCTTGCTGTCTCTCTCTTTTTCTGGTAATTCTTTTTAGTGCACTTTACATTTGATTTCCTTGTCTTATGCAGCTGACTGAAATGATTTATTGGCCTGGGCAGTCACGTTTATTGCTGTGACTAATCTTCCCCCTCTGAATGAAAATCTTTCTCTCTTGCTGTTTTGTTTGAGCCAATATTTGAAACTGTGTGTGTTTCCAATACTGGTTGTTAAATTGCTAAACAATGGGAACCTATTTCAGAAGGGTTGTATTCTGAAAATGATTGTCCAAGCAATAGATTTTTAGGTCAGTTTTGCACATTTGACAGCTTGACTTAAACAATTTATTTTTGACATGGCTTTATCATTGTGCTTTGTTAGAATAATTTTTACTAACAAATTCCCAAAGTCTTCACTGTCTGTATCATATGAAAGATGTGAAAGCACATCAATTGTATCTTGACTGATTGTTGAAGATGTTTTTGTCCTACAGAGTGATGAACTTGTCAGTGTGAGGAACCCCAAGGTAGAAAGTCAAGATTTTGATTTGTGTGTGCAAAAATCTGCAATGTGTTTGATTTAAGGCCTATTCAGTTTTCTACCCCTCACAGAGGGATGAGTCATTCATGTCAAATACAATGAGCTGGAATGAAAGAACTAAAGTTAAGAAAAAAAAGCGGGTGTTAAAGAGCTCTACCCAGCCCAGGCTCCTTACCTGTCACAAAGCCTAGTTGTTAGGCTTTACCTCTAGGCCAAAACCAGGCTCCAAGGCCTAGTACCAAGCCATGTCAGCCATGAGGAATTGACTTTGGGCCTGTAGTTCACCACCATTAGCTACCAGGTTTGCTTTGGCATTTATGTTGAAGTCTCTGTTATTGGCTGTAAACTGACACCATGAGTCAGAAGTTGTTCTTGGTACGTATAAGGGGAAAAGCACTGAGTGGTTAAGCAGTGAGTATTCTCAATGAAGTATGAAGTCACAGAGTGATTCCTGGCCTGGCATGTCATTGTGTCATGTGCTTTCAGTGGGCACGGGGCATTTCTTAAAGTGTTCCTCTCTATCTGACATTTTTCAGTCAGGTCATCTGGACAGTTTCTTTTTTTGTGCTGAAACGCTACGCCTTCGATCCGGAAGGCTTCATCAGTTCCGGATCTAAGGCGAAACGTTTCAGCACAAAAAAAGAAACTGTCCAGATGACCTGACTGAAAAATGTTGGATTGTAAACCTGGATTATTGAGCATGGACTTTGTTGTTTTCAACCAGTTTGACATCACTGTCAACAAGGAAGAGGGCCGGCA